CGACCCTATTATCAGGATGACGATGAAATATGTCACCAACGGTTGGCCGTCGTGAAAGTTTGGTGACATGAAGCAACTGTATCAGCGGCGGGATTTATTATGCATCGTGAACGATTGTCTGATGTTCGGTTAAAGAGTAGTTGTGCCAGAATCCGTTCGTGCAAAAGTGCTGAGAAAGTTCCATCTCGGTCATCCTGGGATTAAACGAATTAAGTCCATAGCCAGGAGTTATGCATACTGGCCTCACAAGGATCAACATGTCACAGCGTTGGTTGAAAAATGCATGCGGTGTCAGCAGGCAGCAAAGATGAATGCCGAAATTCCGCCGGTTTCATGGCCAAAACCTGAGCATCCTTGGTCCAGGATACACGTCGACTTCGCCAATCCAATTAATGGAACTATGTATTTAATTGTCGTCGACGCCTTCTCAAAATGGCCAGAAATCAGCCCCGTTATGCCGCCCACTACAACTAAGACTATACAGCTCCTTTCTGAAATTTTTTCACGAAACGGCATACCAGATGTGATCGTATCGGACAATGGCTCTCAATTCACCTCTTCCCAATTCCAAACTTTCCGTCAACGGCCAGCCATTAAACACTTACGCTCGCCATCATACCACCCGCAATCGAATGGGCAGGCGGAAAGGTTTGTGGATACGCTTAAAAGAGCACTGCTTAAGTCAAAAGGGGAGGGGACGCCAGCCGAAGCATTACAAAATTTTTTGTACGTCTATCGGACAACACCAAATGAGTTGTTACCGGAGCAAAAATCCCCAGCTGAAATCCTGATGGGAAGAAGACTGAAAACGATCCACAGCCTGATGCATCCGACCAATGCACCCTCATCAGTAGAGGCAAAGCAGCAAAGACAATCCGCTTACGAAGTAGGATGCCCTGTGTTTGCCCGCGACTACAGAACTAACCATGGTCCTTGGGCAGAAGCGAGAGTGGTCAGAAGAGTTGGTCGAGTTATGTGCGAAGTAGAGGTAGGAGGTGATAAATGGTCACGTCATCGGAATCAGATACGCAGACGGCTAGCCCCAGATCGCCCATAAAGAGCAGAAAGCCTTCCCATTGACATCTTGCTTGATACCTTCAACCTACCGAGAGCACTGCCACGAGAAGAAACTCAGCAGCAAGCTGTTCTTCGTTCCCGAAGGTATCCTCTCAGACAGCGGCGAACGACAGTCAGGATGCAAGTCGACCTCAGGAACACACACTATTAAAAAAGGGGAGGAGAGGTGGGCATGTTAGATCCCCAAAACTCGCTTGATAAATGCCTTATTTTGGTTTCCACGTTCGAAAGCATGGACTGATCAGTTGACGTTGAGATTTCATTTCCCACCAGGGAAATCCATGGCTGTGATTGGCTGCTGTGTATTTAGGTGCGCTATTTTCTCAACTCTCCCAAAGACGTTTCTATGATGTATGAATAAACGAGAGTTGTATGCTTGACTGTACTGCGGTTGCTAGGTTTTTGTAGAATATACTTTCTACGCTTACATAGCCTTCTTAATTTACTTAGGGATTCAAGGTAGCCTACCTGGACGCTGCCTCAAGCATACTTAGTGGCGAACCCAATAGGTTACAGTCAATCGTCGACAGACGTTCACCGAAAGATTTGACGATTCTGGTGGGAGACCTAAATGCCAAGGTTGGCATGGACAACACTGGATATGAAGACATCATGAGGAGACATGGACTATGAGAAAGGAATGAAAACGGTGAGAGATTCGCAAACCTTTATGCCTGCAAAAAACTGGTCATTGCAGTGCCATATAAAAGCCAGATCATATGCGACATCCAGATACTCTAGCTGCAACCTGACTGTCCACTTTACTGGGTGCTTCCCTCTGCATGACGATGTCTTCATAATCCGTTGGTATGTACTGTTTCGATATCGAGTGGGTTCAGTGGGACTGGTCGATTCAAGAGTTCCTTAAAGTGCTCTACCCCTCTGTTTCTCTGTTCTTCAATGTTGCTGATTACTTTGCCTTCTTTGTTTATCACTGGTCGTCGAGGATTAAGATAGTTCCCAGCGAGCTTCTTTGTTGTGTCGTATAATCGTCTCAAGTTTCCGTCTTTTGTAGCCTTTTCCACCGTCATTGCTAGATCTTCCACATATTTACGTCTGCCGGCTCTGATGGTCCTCTTCATTTTCCTGTTTGCTTCTGTGTATTCAGCTTGTGACTCAACTTTCTCTGCTCTTGTTCGACTGACATTGATTGCTGCCCTATTGTTCCTCCTTTCTTTAATTTTTTCATGAGTACCAACAGAGATCCATTCCTTGTGATGCTGCTTCTTGCGACCAAGGACCTCCCGACATGTTGCAGTGATTGCCTCCTTAATCCCTTTCCAATTGTTCTCGAATGTGGCGTCCTCTCCATTGAGTAGATCCTGGAAGGCCTGGAACCTATTGGTGAGGGCTACCTTCAATTGATTGAGTTTTACGGTATCTCGGAGAAAGGTCGTGTTAAACTTCTGTGATGTTGTCTGCCCCGTTATCCAGTGTTTCTTGGGTTTCAGTTTTATTTTAGCGACCAGCAAGTGGTGATCTGAGGCTATATCAGCAGCTCTGCTGGTTCACACGTCCTCCATGGTCGTTCTGAACTTTTCATTGTTACAAATATGGTCGATTTGGTTCTGAGTAGTGTGATCCGGTGAAATCCATGTAGCTTTGTGTATGCTTTTGTGAGGGAACATTGTGCGGCCGATGACCAGTTTGTTGAAGGCGTATAGGTTTGCGAATCTCTCACCGTTTTCATTCCTTTCTCCTAGTCCGTGTCTTCTAATGATGTCTTCATATCCAGTATTGTCCATGCCAACCTTGGCATTTAGGTCTCCCATCAGAATCGTCAAATCCTTTGGTGAACATTTCTCGACGATCGACTGACGCCTTTCGTAGAATTGATCTTTAACGTCGTCATTGTAGTCATTGGTAGGTGCATTGCATTTGGTTATGTTTACTGTAATGTCGTGTTTCTTTGTTTTGAACGATCCTTTCATTATCCTGGGTTCATGATATTCCCATCCTCTCAGTGTATTTTGTGCTTGTTTGGACAGCATTAGTGTAACTACTTGTTTATGTTAAGCATTTTCCTCTTCATGACCAGAATATAACAGCAGTTCCCCTGAAGCTAGTCTCTGTCGTCCTACCTGCATCCAATGCATTTCACTGATTCCAAGCACTTCCAGGTTGTTTCTTTTCATTTATGCAGCAAATTGAAATAGTCTTCTAGTCTACCACAATGTACGAACGTTCCATGTACCTAAAATTATGGTTGCCCTGGCTGTCAGAAGGGGCATCAGGCTCGTGATCTGCAAGGGATCTTGGCTTTCATCACGAGACGTTTTGATTCTCCTTCCAACTCCCGGGGCAGAGTTAAATCGGTTAGAAGTATTTGTTCTGCTTAGCGTTTTCTAGCGAGTTAGTTTTTTTGGTGTGACGGGGTCGCCAACCCCATGGTCAACCCCTCCTCCTTTATCCGGGTTTGGGACCGGCAGTAGCCCTGAAGGATCTGTAGGTGGATGTAGCGCTAGCATCATCTAAATATTTTCGAGAGGGATAAGGATGCTTTATGATTTATTTTTAAGAATTATGTCGCAAACGTTTTTGGAGTACCATTCATTTTATTCGGACTTGAAGCTTCAAGGATGGGAGTACAGTCCTTTACGTTGTTTCGTGATGTAATTTTCCAATGACTGCTGATCCTAGCCTTCATAAGAATAACACCATCAGATAGTCACCCATCTAACGTATTATGGAAACGTCCTATGTTTGCAAGCCAGTATGCGAGCAGTTCGGAATAAGTCTTCTGTACATCACATATTTGCCCCAACAATAACTGATGGAAAGAAGGTTTTCTTAAAACACGACCAATGTATTTCGGCTTTTCCGACCTTGTGGTCACGTACTTTGCGCATGAAGCAGAGGGACTGTCCTACTATATATCAACAATAGTTATCTACGAATCAAGTCTTATTTTTTTACATCTACAACCCACACAACTGAAATAACAGAAGAAATGGCTTGATGCTGAGGTGTGAAGTAGTCTACAGAAAACTCTAGGCCTGGCTCTCAACATTAATGTGGGCTTGCAGTATCGAGGTGACTCAATCCAGTATGACCCAGTCCCATGATCACAGACATTACCTCAGAAATTTTATTGCAATGGCTAACTTTCAGTCAAACAGATGTATTCTCACAGAATAATGACCCATATCATGTACATTATGACCTACTGTTGCAACATAGTCTCTTCGAGTGTGACCAAAATAAACACATTTCTATACTAAAGTTCACAAACTGTCCGATTCAGTCTTCATTCGCCTCATCAGTTGTCTTCAATGGATTGGATTCTAGACCAGAATATGAATCTGATGAAGGTTATAATGAAACTTCACCTGGGACTGCAGACTAAAACAATGACCTATCATATAACCCATCTTCCAGTTAGGATATGCTTGTAAACTTCATAATGATCAATACACTACCAACATTGTGAACATTCATTCATACATAGGTCCGAAAGTGTAGTTTGGTTCGTAAGTAGAAAATAAATATTTTTAGTAGTAGAATACTAGCTGGAAGTCATGGCAGGATAGAAGCCTGGTTGCTAGCACGTAATCACTCGTCAAAGTTAGGTGCAATGGTTGTGGCTTTTAAAAGTTAGACTAGCAGAAATGTTTAGCATGTAATAATAACTATAGTCTGTCCAGATAAATTGACGTTCTAACATCTGTCTGATATACTTTTATTTATTGAGTTTGATCGCATCGGACACTTAATTGTACTACCCTCCTCGACACCAGTAACACAGATATTTGAATACTCTACCAAGTAGCTATCAAAATGCTGAGAATTACATATTTCTTAGAAATAATTCAGTTATTTTGATATCTAGTTTCATTCCTTTCACTTTACTACCTATTGACCATAGTCATAACTGCGCAACATTAACATACTGCTAACTAATCAAACAATAGAATGCATACGTCCTTCAGTTGATATCCAGACGGTGTGATATCACAGCTGATTGTCTAGTTCATCTTTTTGCTTCACTCGTAGCTGTGTGACTAGAAAACTGTGACTGCCGTTTGATAATATGCATAGCGAAGCAAACGAAAAGACAGTCGTTTTCGAAATATCATTACCTGATGACGAGGGCTGCCATGAATGCTCTTATCTCGAGCTTTTCCAACAACACTTGGTACGGTCGCGTTACTTAATTACTATCAGTTTATTGTCCTATTTGACTGTTTCCACTATGGTTGTGTATATCGGTTTTATTTTCTTGCTATCTGCTTTCGATTAACTAAGAAATGCTATCATTACACAGCGTACTCGTTGCCCAGCCTTGCGCTTATTGGTCAGGACCTGACCTTGGGCGTGGGCGTGGTACTGCTGTGCTTACGTAAACTCTGAAATTTAATTTTAGTAAAAGGATGTTTTTATTTTAAATACAACAGGAATCTGTAAATAATCGAAAACGTGAGGATGACCCTTTCGCATCCAAAGAAGATGCAGAAGAAAAGAGGCTTTCTGACCTCGCTAAGGCACTCGAGCGAAAATATGTAAGCAGCCTGTCATAGTATAATTGCTGATTTCAGGGGACTATGGTTACTATGAAGAATAGTGGAAAGCAGAAGCGAGTTCGTATAGATGACTTTTTGGATCCAGGAGATGGATACGACACCCAAGATTCGTTTATCGATGACTCCGAGGCTGTATGATCTCGTTTAATTTTGTTTTTAGTGAAATATGTAGATTGATGTATTTGTGGCTCCAAATATTTCTACTAAGTTTGGAGGATATTTTGTACATCAAGGCACTGTTGAAGGACTTGAAGATCAGAGTGCAAAAATCGAAGCTCCTTGGAATGCAAGGATATTGGTTTGTGTAAATGAAACTGATCCCATTATCCGATAGACAAATACCAATTCATCTCAGAATATTATGAGAAAGAAAAACAAATCCAAGTAAGTGTCATAGATTCCTTAACGTTTTCTTAGAGAGCTTTTGGATAAGGCTGTCAAACGCTTATCAACTCCCAGTGCTTTCAAGCCTAAATTGTTTTTATCGGAGTCGCGAAACCAAATGCGTAATTTAGACTCAGTATTTGACGAGGTTTTGTCCACACCAACAGCATTTGAACAGGAGAGTAACACAAAAGTTATTGAGAATTGTGAAAAACCAAGTGGTCAAAATGATCATGACCCCTCCGCAGTCACAGCAAAGTTATGCGAAACTGGAAAACCAAAAGCTCTTCCTGAAAATTTACCACCAGATATAGTAACATGCTTGAACAACCTAACAGAGGTAAATTACGTTTTTATTCGGGTTACTTAGAACGTAGATGCGTAACTGTTTGAGGATACAGTGTCATTGCAAAGGAGATGTGAAGTATATTTGTTTTGTTATTTAGACAAATATTGGTACACAAGGGTACAACTATATATATGCGCCCCACAAATAGTTGAATTTATGTACTGAGATACTGCTCGGGTGACCATATTGATACAGGTGGTTTTCTTAGGGAACCACTTCCCGAGTCTGACCTAGAGGTCTAATCTACAAGGCAGTGAGGCAATTCAGGAAATGTGGTCTCATGGTAGCCAGTGACCAACAGTAAGTTCACATGCCACGTTTTCTCTTAGAATCCTGGAGTCCACATGCACCCTTGGCATAGAATCAGGGTTTTCCAACTCCCTAGGTGGATTTCCCGTACTCACCAACTCGGTTAAAGCGCGAACATTTGCTTTTCGTTTTTTCAACTTCGTAAACAACACCCTCGCCACGAGAAGTCGATGAGTAGAAGTTCCTTGTCAGTGGCTACATATAAGTGGTTTTATGAGCGCATGTTGAGAGGCAGTCAGTTATTCAGTCAAAAACAACATAGAACTTCGTACGTACGTACATCATTTCAAGTTATCATACTAAATATAGCACAGAGATGCAATCGTCACTTCAAATACTATGGTAGTAGAGGTAGTAGAAGTATTAGCAGTAATCGGAGAGATTAGGGTTCGACGATATCATTCAAGAAGTAGAATCTAGTGAAATAAACTCAAAAGAAAAAGATAAAGGTGATGAGGAACTCCGAAGGTTAGCATTTGAGAGAACATAAAGAATGAATGCATCTGCGCCATTGCAAACTGTTTCGAGCCGTACTATTCAGGGTCTAACCATCAATTACTATCATCTCGCGGGCGGACTCACCCCAATCTTTGTCACTTAAGCATTCGAAAGAAAGCATTAACTTAAGCATGTTATCTAGCAAGCAAAGCGCAGCATCATTTGTAGTTTTACAGTCACTTTGATAATCATAGGTAGTGATTTTATTCAGTTAACTTATCTAGATTTTTTGTAACGCATTCTCTTTCCAAAGTCTAAGTAAGCAACCATCTCATTAGACTGGTCTCAGTCGCTAATTGTCCCAATCTACAAGAAAGGACAGAAGTCCTCTTGTGACAGTCACAGGGGAATAAGTCTAACTAATATAGTTTCTAAATTGTTAGCCTCCATTATACTTGGACGTCTAACTAGAGCTCGTGAAGAGCAGACTAGAGAAAACCAGGCTGGTTTTCGACCTGAACGTGGTTGTATAGACCACATCTTCACACTACGACGGGTCCTGGAACACAGACACATTTAGACGTCTGACAGTAGTCGTGTTCCTGGACCTAAAAGCGGCATTTGACTCAGTGGATCGTGAGGTTCTGTGGCAGTGTCTGTCATTGAAAAGTGTACCAAAGAAGTACATTAACCTTATACAAGCACTCTACTCGAACACCACTGGTCGGGTTAAAGCATATGGCGAACTGTCATCTGAATTCTCTACATCAAGTGGTGTCCGTCAGGGATGTCCACTCTCTCCATTTTTGTTTAATTTTATCATTGACATGCTGCTAGAAATAACCTTATCCTCGTCTGAATTTTCTGGAGTAGACCTTCTACCAGGAAATTCGCTTACTGATCTAGAATATGCCGATGACATAGTTCTATTCGGTGAAGACGCTGACAAAATGCAGTCTTCTGACTACTCTGAGCAAAAATGCGAGCATGTTCGGGATGCGGTTTTCCCCCTCGAAATGCAAAATGTTGCTTCAAGACTGGGTTGCATCGGCACCTGAACTAGTGATAGGGAGTGAAGTAGTCGAACGTGTAGACCGCTTCACTTTTCTGGGGAGTCTCATCAGTGCTGATAGCCTGGTGACTGACGAAATCTCAGCTTGGATTCAGAAGGCTCGATTGGCTTTTGCCAACCTGCGTCACTTATGGCGTAGGCGTGATATCCGTTCGCTAACCAAAGGGCGGGTGTACTGCGCAGCAGTTCGTTCCGTTCTCTTATATGGCTGCGAAACACGGCCGTTAAGAGCAGAAGATGTTCGTAGGTTACTAGTATTCGATCATAGATGTTTAAGAAGCATTGCTCGTATATCGTGGGACAGCCGAGTAAGCAATGCTGTCGTTAGGAAACGAGTACTAGGTAAGGATGGCAGATCAATCGATGAAGTGGTGAAACGTCATCAGTTGAGGTGGTTGGGACATGTGTTACGTATGCCTAACCACCGACTGCCTCGACGAGCAATGTTTTGTAGTGTAGGAGTAGGTTGGAAGAAAGCTTGGGGCTGCGAGACCAAAACATGGCAGAAATCCATGAAGTCACTGACAAATGGACTGAGCCATGTTGGTAGGTGTAGTCTACCTGGTTGGGGTCCGCGAGATGAAAGTCACCAGTGGTTAGAGGCCTTGAACGACATGGCTCAAAATCGTTTTCAATGGCGCAAGTGCATCCATTCTTTGAGCTCTCTCAAATCCTAATCTTCTGGAATCGTCAGCACCTCTACCTTTGTCCTTCTAACCTTATCTCACTGAATTATACTTCTTGAATAATATCTTAAACCCTTGTCTTCTTCATTACCAATAATACCTCTACTATCTTTATCACTATGGGATTTGATTTGACATTTGCGTATCTGTGCTGATGTGGTATGGCAACATGAACTTATGTACATGCGTACGAAGTTCTACGTTGCAACAGACTGATTGACTGACTCATTAGTCGAGTTAAAATGTACAGCGTCCTTTTATTCTATAGGATCATGACACAAATTGACCATTCAGTTTTTGCAGCTAGTCTGAGAGTTGACGAACTATTCATGATGTAGAATTTGGTATGTTTACTGAACGGCAGTCAAATTTGTTGGACTCTACTTGTTTAACACATTTATGCCAGAGTACGTTGACATCAAATGACTGAGGGCTACAAACCAAGCGACAATCAATGTGGGTGACATACATGTTCCACAAATATTTGGTTATATGTATACTCAAACGGCTGCTTGTATACGGTAGACAACCAAGTGAGTTGCAGCAGTTAGACGTTGAGGATTAGACATACATACCGAATCTGTTTATGAGGCTATAAATTTTTGCCGACTGATATGTCTAGGAGATATATATTTTGCATATTCTCAACCACCGCCCACAACGTAGTGTTAGCTGGAGTAGGAGCGAGAGCTAGGGACCAACAAGTCAAGATGTGGTATCAGTTCATGAAATCATTGACTTATTCTGATCCATGTTGGTAGGTCTGGACCACCTAGTTGAGGTCCTTGTAATTACCGTAACTGATGGTTAACGACCTTAAGTGACGTCACTTCGAATCGTTCTCAGCGGCTCAGGTGGATTCACTTTTTATCTGCCTGCGAAACCGGTCATTAATTCATTGAATTAATTATCTTCCGTTACCACTAATACTGTTACTACATCTGTAGGATTTACCACGATTGTTTCACCTAGCTGTCTTAATGGTGTGTGGAATCTTAAACGGATGCACACAACTAACGTACTCCTGTCACTCCCAATGGAGCAAAGGAACCTACTGTCCTGTTGTCTTCCCTTTCCTGTCCTGTGAAATTTTTGTTCATTCTTCTCATATCTTTCCCTGTTTCTCGGCGTTATGTGTTCACTGGCCTTCCTCTCTTCCTTTGGCCCTGAGCGTTCCAAGTGAGGGCTTGTTTTGTGACGTAGTCGGGTGGTTTCTCCAGTGTGTTTCCTATCCACCTCCAAAGCATTTTCCTAATTTCTTCCTCACATGGGGAAAGTTGTTTTGTTCTCCCAACAGCAGGTTGTTGCTGATGGTGCCTGGTCAACGAATCCGAAGTATTTTGCGTAGACAACTGTTAATAAACACTTGTATCTTATGAATGATGGCTTTGGTAGTTCTCCAGGTTTCCGCCCCATACAGTAGAATTGTCTTGACATTTGTATTGAAAATTCTGACTTTGGTGTTGGTTGATAGTTGGCTTGAGTTCCAAATGTTGTTCAATTGTAGAAATGCAACGCTTGCTTTGTTGATCCTCGCCTTCACATCTGCGTCGGATACACATTGTTCGTCAATGATGCCCCCTAGATACGTAAAGGTTTTGATGTCATCCAAAGCATCTCGATCAATAGATGTAGTTGGCGCATGTAGTGTTGTGTCGGATAATCTTGCTTTTCCCTTTATGTACGTTGAGACCTGCTGCTACACTGGTCGTCTTCTCTAGCCTTTGTTGTTGCTTGTGTGGTAGTATAGTCAGATCATCTGCGAAGTCCAAATTGTCCAGCTGCATCCTGGTTGTCCACTGCACCTCGTACTTTCCTGTAGATGATGACGTCTTCATAATCCCGTCATTCACGAGGATAAAGTTAAAGAGTGAGTAAGCAACCTTACCTGGTACCGGTCTTCACCGCGAACGAGTCTTTCAGCTGTCTTTCGTGCACAATTCTCCAGTTGAATCCATCATAAGAATTCCGTATCATATTGGCTATTATCTCAGGCACACCGTAGTGTCGAAGAAGCCTCCATAGTATTTTCCTATCCATGCTATCGAATGCTTTCTCTTGATTGCTCCACAATGATCCGTAATGTTGCGATTTGGTCAGTACACGATCTATCCTTACGAAATCCAACCTGTTGATCTGGAAGTTGGGCGTCTACGAAGTCCTTCATTCTGTTTAACAATACACTGTTGAAGAGTTTGCCTGGTATTGAGAGAAGAGTGATGCTTCTGTAGTTCTCACACTTGCTGAGATCGCCTTTCTTTGGTATCTTGATTAGGTGTCCTGGTTTGCAGTCTGTTGGTACTTGATCTTCATCCCAAATCTTGCTGAATAGGATGTGAAATATTTTTATAGTTGCTGCCATGTCTGCTTTCATTGCCTCTACTGGAATGTTGTCTGGTCCCACTGCTTTACCGCTCTCGATTTGTCTGATGGCCTTGCTGATCTCTTCGATTGCGGGTGGGCTAACATCGACTGGGAGGTCCGTGAGTTCTGCTTCGATGTTGAGTGGGTTCAGTGGGACTGGTCGATTCAAGAGTTCCTTAAAGTGCTCTACCCCTCTGTTTCTCTGTTCTTCAATGTTGCTGATTACTTTGCCTTCTTTATTTTTCACTGGTCGTCGAGGATTAAGATAGTTCCCAGCGAGCTTCTTTGTTGTGTCGTATAATCGTCTCAAGTTTCCGTCTTTTGCAGCCTTTTCCACCGTCATTGCTAGATCTTCCACATATTTACGTTTGTCGTCTCTGATGCTCCTTTTCAATGAATATTTAATCTAAGGAAATAAATCTAGGTTATAAACTTTCTTACTAAATAACTTGTGTATGTGCTTGATTTTTTCTAAGATTTTACACGTTTTAGTTGATAACATCTGTTTGAATCAATTGAGTCCGATAACTTATCAGTAACTTTGTTTCAGATCAACAAAAATGGGACACATCAACGTCGTACGCTAGGAAAACCGTTCGATACGGAATTATTAAAGTAAGTTTTTGTGTTCCGATTACTCTTGAAGTTAGTGATAACGTTGTCATCGTTAGCTTATTTGTCGTGGTGATATTTCTTTTTTTACGTTTATTTCTTCGGATTATACTCCTCGTATTATATCTTCAAACCCCAATGTTTTCCATTACTTCCAATACTTTTACTACCTCTATTATTATGGTATTTGAGTTGACAATTCCACCTCTCTGTACTAATGTGGTATGGCGACCTTAACTAATTTACGCAGGTACCAAATCCTTCGTTGTAACTGACTGACTATCTGTTGTGGTCGAAAAATGAACACCACTTTTATAGGCTGTGGATTTTGTTTCTGTGTCATCTAGTATTATGGTTTGATTAGATAAATTAAGTAGATAAAGGAGTAATTAATGTATCAGTCTATTTTCTATGATTTTACCACCAAAGATGATTTTCGGAAAATTACTTCTTGTTAGAGGCTTTGGTACAACCGAGAGTAGTGAAAGTCCGCTCTTCCTGTCAACATGCGCTCATAAAACCACTTATATGTAGCCACTGACAAGGAACTTCTACTCATTGACTTCTCGTGGCGAGGGTGTTGTTTACGAAGTTGAAAGAACGAAAAGCAAATGTCCGCGCTTTAACCGAGTTGGTGAGTACGGGAAATCCACCTAGGGAGTTGGAAAACCCTGATTCTATGCCAAGGGTGCATGTGGACTCCAGGATTCTAAGAGAAAACGTGGCATGTGAACTTACTGTTGGTCACTGGCTACCATGAGACCACATTTCCTGAATTGCCTCACTGCCTTGTAGATTAGACCTCTAGGTCAAAGACTTGGAAAGTGGTTCCCAGCCCATACACAAATTCAACTATTTGTGTGGCGCATATATATAGTTGTACCCCTGTGTACCAATATTTGTGTTTAAATAAATTTATATTGATTTCTGACTTACATTTGTTTGAACTTCTTTGTTTTCCATCTATGTATAGGAAATCATTTGGTTTCATACGCGGAATGTATGGAAAAATATAGTTTGTTTATCACCAATGTAATATAATTTTCCAAATGCAACTTGGCCAGCCATTTTAGAATGGCTTGTTGTGTTGCTAGTTGTTACTTTATCTATTGGTTAAATTTTTTCTTTGGTATTCCATAAGGATGATTTTCTTACGAAGATATTTTTTGATTATTATCCATTTTCGTAGCTAATACATTCCACCATAATTCTGGTTACAGTCTTTATAATCGTTAGGAAATAATATCAAAAGCCTTTGCGTGATACATACAATGAGTAACTCGCTTTATTAATCTTCCATTCCAATAATTTTCTACTGATGGGTCGTATAATTTCCTTTGGTTTGGTGTTTTGACTATTTATTTTTAAAACCACTTTGTTTATAATATTTAGATTGGATACAAAATTGAAGGAATTAATGGTGAATCAGTCTGTGAGGTCAGATGTATTCAGCTACTTAGAAAGCCACTTACAATTGAAGCGCAAAGCTGTGATGCGTAGACTTAAACGATTGAAGGAAGATAATCAAGAACAGAGAATGAACCCACTCTTGGACGCTCTCGGTGAAGGTATGTTATTAGAAAGCAAAGAGTATTAAGAAGTTTGTATTGTAAATGAAATGATAATTCTAATGTGTACCTAATATTTAAAACCTTTATTCACTTTAAGATTGATCTGTTTTAAAGATCAAATAACTAGGTGAAAATACACATCTTTTGGCGCTCAGGATATTTTGTGTTCTTTGAATACTCATTTATTGACAAGAATCACTCTAGACAGTTAGTCTAGTCCATTTTTCACAATTTTTTTTGATTGTAACCCAACTTCCATCATTTTTTTCTACCTTGCTATAAGAAATTGTTACTACTATACCAATTCAATATTATCACTTTGTATGTATCTAGTCAAACTTGTAAATAGATCGTCAGTATAACTATGGGTTATATTTGTGGGGTCTATGAAATAACTGAATCTGATAACTAGTGTCTTCAAAAGATATATACATAATAGTACTTAGTTCTGCTTCTTTTCATTTTCTGCCTTCTCAAGCTATTTCATCGTCAATGCCTCCAATTATTGAAAGTTATACAAGAGATAAAGAAGTTCACTTAGAACGTATTAAAGCTTGGCAAACAGAGTAAGTTAATTAATTAGTTGTAATATTTTTCAGTTAGATTGTCATTTTAAATGCGTGGTAGATTTGCTCCGGACATCCAGGTAGTAATTCTTATCTCTCAGCAATAATATTACTCAGAGGCTAGTACATGTACTGTTTGTTAGAATATAAGTAATAAGCTATTGAAAGTGAAGTTATTGAGTAATTCAGTGTGATTAATCACATTCGATTATATTTTGACGAATTCAGTCATTAATTATTTCAGATAATCATTCACTTGGTATTGATACTTGCTCAGTATAGAGTTTGTTTTTAGTTATAATCATTTAGATATAATCATAAATTACTGAAACAGGGAATCGGTATGTAAGAAGCGCTATTTTTCTTAAAGGAAATATATTCTTCACAGTCGTGGATTAGGCTTTTTCTCCGTAGTCGTATACGGTCTGTGTCAAGAGTTTGAAAAGCAGATTGTTGAAAAGTAATTGCGTTGCTTTCGCTATTGCGGTTATAACGCAGCTGAAAAATAACATGATATTTTCAAACGTTTTTGACGCTGGATTCTTATGATGTGTATTACAATATCTAGTTTTACAATTAATATAGTTGGGTTTTGATTTAGTATTTTTAATTCTAAATTGGTAGCTATTGAATTACGAGCTAAAATGTACTGATGCACCCAAAATTGGTTTTCCATAGCCAGTTGATTGTGATACGCACGTTACTCAGTTTTGATTAGGCACTATCTAACGTAAAGTCAAGGGGTTCTTTTGTTCCTTATCTATATAGTAACCGTTGGCTTTCATTGATCATGTTTAAATGTTTCTACCCCCGGTCCCATCAGTTATTCTTTTTCGGTTTTAGAAATTTGCAAAGTGGCTCAGATTTAACTGATAATCAAGGTGTTAATAACTTAAGCGACGTCAACTTATCGAAACGACCTCCAAAACCTGGACCTCCTAAGAAAATCTATCGATGGAATTCTGAATGCAGGTAAATTGTTGAATATCATATCTTTTTCACCAGTATCAATATAATGAAGCTGTAAAACTTTAATCGTCTAATCTTTGTTACGTACCTAAAGTTTACAAATTAGATTGAATCCCCGCCACACGAACACTTATCTGTTTTAGTGCTGAAGAAAATATCGGATAAATGACAATTTGGATGGTATCTCTATGTTCGTTGTGCAGTCTTCTTCATTCATCTGAATCTTCAAAACATTTTATTGGTGCTTGCTGACTGTGTTGTGGTTCTTGAGAATTTTGTACTATCCATAATGATTACCCCACATCCATCCGCTGGTTGTATAACGGCTACTGTCAGTTCTGATGTAGAATATCGCTTTTGGTGCAA